GCTGATTGAGTATCTAAACACCTCTCGCAAGCCTGGTACGGTGTCAGAGTGTTCTCTGCATATGTTGGTTTTAGCGAGGGGTTGTCGTTCTGTCGTCCTCCCCGACGCAGTCTCTGCGGAGAGCGCGGCGACGAGAGCCCGACTGTTCGCCCATCTGTTCCGCAGTGGGAGCTCTCTGCGGCGCCTGGGTCTCTCTCAGGTGAACACTGATGTGTCATGGGGATTCCCTTTGAGTTACTCTGAAAACGGCATCGTCGCCCTGTGCTGATCTGATTACTCCATCAGAGGGGGGAGCGTAAATGTGCTGCATTTTGATTGAACTTGTCATTTATGTGCATCATGCGGAGACGGAGAATAATAAAAATGACTCCATGTGCAGGTTTTGCAGCTAATAGCAGCTGTTTGTTGGTTCCTTACTACCGGTACAGCATCTTTGTCCAACTAATGTTTCTGCGGCTGTGGTTCAGGTGGTACATCGGGTTGTCCTCTGATCGCAAGGTTCGATCCCCCGCCCCTCCACAGTTGAAGTGTCCTTGGGCAAGACACTGAACCCGAATTTGCTCCCAATGGCAGGCAGCACCTTGCATGGCAGCTCTGTCACCATTGGTGTATGAATGTGTGTGTGAATGGGTGAATGAGAAACACATTGTAAAGCGCTTTGGATAAAAGTGCTATATAAGTGCAGACCAGACCATTTTCTCACATTGCTAACTTTTTGGATTTTGGGCCTAATAGTTAGCAATCAGGTGATGCAACAAGTATATGCGAACCTGGATAGAAAATGGCTGTGCGTAAAGAACTACAGATACAGTGGAAGCTTTTTCTTTTTCTTTTTTTTCCACCAAGACTTCCCACACACACCAGAAGACACCTTTTGTCCCCTGGGCAAGCAGCTTCTTATGACCTATAGCTATTATAATTGTGACAGCGGCCTCTAGTGGCTGGAACTATTATAACAGATGCAAAGGAGTTCATGAGGTGACACAAACCTAATCGTAGTCTCGCCCCCCAAAGGCCTTAACACTGGGTTTGAAGTGGTATCAATGTTACTTGGACTTGTTATCTGGACTCATGTTTGATTAGCTGCTTAGCTGAACCCTCGCTGTTTGTGACATTACAGGCCTTTAACACACCTGAGCAATAAATAAATAAATAACCATGACGGTGAGCAGCCAGATGCTGCCAATTACAGATATACGCAAAGTTCTGACCATCACCACTCAAGCTTGGTTTCTATACATTGAGTGGGTAGAAGGACTATGACATTTATATGCCATCAATTTTGCAGTGAGCTATGGATAAGTCCCCGAAGAAAGTCTGCAGATATGTTGGGTGCTTAATAATATTAAAACACCCTCATGCAGTATTTGGCAGTATACCAGCCCTGAGCACTCATGCACTTAGCAGGTACATGGCCTCAAAATGTATGGAAATTGGGATTATGCTGCAATTTTTAGCCACAAAGTCCATATAGAGAGGAGGTTGGGGTTGATAGTTGGACCAAAAAACATTGGCATCTTGTTTCAAACTATTACTTTTAATC